GATCATACCGCACACTACTGAGTCCCCTTGCTGTTACTCACGTAAGAAACCATTTAAACAGACAGCGACTCCACGGCACTGAAGCGCCTGCAGTACAAAGGACATAGATATTGCATCACTGAGTCGAAACAGGTAGGCTATAGCTGAGGGAAAGTTCTGAATATATTAGTCAAAATCTGGGGAAAAATTTCCATTTGCTTTAAATCGATATATTTTTGCTTGCCCAGACGGTTCGACGCCTGCCATAGCAGTCATGCCCTGATAACCGTAAGGTTTGCGTTAGCGTAATGTGTTGGTAATAAGATGTCAACATCTTTATTGTTCAGTGCCCTCGACTTTTAATCGACAAACCACTTGCAGCTTAATTTAGAATTTTGAAATGCTTTTGTGATTTTAGTGAACATGTTTCTTAAGGATTCGCTCTGAAGAAACACAAATTTTTAGTATTTATGTATGTAGTTTAAGCCTGACTATATTTTGAGGGTAAATTTTCTACACAATACAGAGTGCATTATAGCCAATTTGAGTAGAGTAAATTCATGTACTGCGGCGCAGCCGCCGATGAAGGCGTCGGACAGAAGAAAGTACATGTTGATCATTAATACGGTATACAGATTTTAACTTTCGCTTTATAAGTTTCCGGCGGCTCCATTGTCACGAAAAGTCAAAAAAATTACTTACGCCGTTGTGCTGCCATTAATAAGTTATACAAGGTATAAGTTCTGGTGTATTTTCTTTCGTCTTTCTTGTTATAGTGATTTTAGTTATGCGTAAAGTAAGGTCTATTTTGTTTTCGAAGTATGGCTGTAGCATTAAATGTCTGTCGTAGTAAAAGCTTTAGGAGTTTTCGTTTCTGATGTAGTAATGTTTATCGCATTCTGACGATTGCTTGAAAACAACTGAATATTCAATTAATCGATTGGTAATGATGCCGATAGCGGCGCTCGCTACATGATCCGCTTGCTTGGCGCAGGACGTTTTCGCGTTGCCACTAGATCTCCTCATAAATTGCCGGCGAAGAGGTTGAGTGAATTCATTTAAAAGTTTTTTATCTTTCACTCGAACTCCGCCCTGGTAAAGACTAAGGTTGTTTGTTTAAAAGATTAGACGGTGGATTTGTGGTGTGAGAGTTTAGAAACTCGCTTCGAGTTTCATTTTTCTCCTTCGCTGATTTTCAGCGGGACCCTGCATTTCGTTTCTATACCGTGCTTGCATCTGTACTGATAATTATGTAAGGTTGCCGTTCGTAATTTATGTGCAATTTTTTTGATATTTTTTTTTATTTAGAGTTGATTTAACTTATCGTACTAATGTATCGAAGGGAAACAGACGACAACGCGCTGTAGAAGAAATCGGAGTTAAACGTTGTGCTGACTCTTATACTGTATACTGCATAGTAGGCGATAAAGTGAGTTAGGACAAAATGCACCAACAACATCTCTCGCTTTGGCCAGCAAAACCATATTCATTGTCCGTTCTGTTGCGACCACATCGGATTACGGTTATACCTGTTATTCGCAAGTCAGTGATACACTAACCGTTTCTCATCTGGTTGTGGCGAAGCAACATAAAGTTAATTTGTTGCTCCTGGAAATTTGTATATAAAGCAAGATTATAGCGATAGCGTACTCAAACCAATCACTCAGAAATGACCTCATTCCACATTTCAGCACGCCATGAAGACGACCTGGCATTAGATGTATCTCAAACACATATACATACACATATGCACATGCATACTTACGCATAAATGTCATTGTACCAGCAGGTATAAACGCGGTAACGTAAGTGATACAAGTACCTCCTGATGAAAACGTACGTATCGTTGACCGACATTTATCATTTTGCCTTTAAAATTTGTTAATTAAGTTTTGTGATACATCGCAGGGACTCGAGTAACCCGTTACGGTAAACGAGTACTTGCGGGCTGATTGAATTTTAATATTATTTTAAATTTCAAGGTTGACCTAGTAAATAAAGTATATAGCGGAGAGGCAGAGGGACCTTATGTCAACGTCGGTATGTGTTCCGATCAAGTGAACACCAAAAATGCAAATGCCCTTAATTTTTTTTCGTGGACGGTGTTTCTGTTCGTTTGCATAATTTTGATACTAAATTGAAAATCTCACTCAGAAGAAAAAGTTTTGGAAGGATCCATAAGAAATTACTTGTCTCATGAAATGGTCCCTGAAAATTGGGAATATGTGTGCAGTTTTAGTTACAAGCAGCATTACTACTTACGGAAGTGAGTCCTGTCGAAGACCTCCTATAATCAGGAAACGAGAGAGTCAGGTTGTGTGCTGTATCACCACTATGGTTCTGTTCGGAGTCGATTTTGTTAATTAAGCTTTTTCAGTGTCAGTGACGTTTTGAAAATATCTGTAATTTTTTATGCGCCGTAAAGGTCCATAAGTGAGTAGCATGATGTCATTTTTATACGTATTTTATCTCGATGAAGATGGTTGTTGAAGAAGGTACTGGTGACGGAGATAGTGAGTTTCGTAATTTTGTTCGATCCAATCGCCATTGCAGAAAAGCCAGTGTTATAAGCACTAGTGTTTCATTTTGTACTGTATATTTATGAATAAAACGTAGCTTTACACAGAACTTTTCAAAAGCCATAGTTCACATCGTATTGTATTGCTCCTAGATGCCTTAGGAGACCGTTTAAACAGGCCACCTCTGCGTTTTTAACAGCAGGTGGTGTGCCACCTGTAACTCGCATCATGTTCGCTAGTGTTACCTCTTGCCCATTACGATTTATATTTCAGGCTGGTACTCTACTCCTTTTATGGTTCCGCATAAATATCAAAATATGTTCGTACGCTGGAAGATTTTAAATAACGCATTACTCCATAAGACCAGATAATGTAATTGGTACCAATGGCCTTAATACAAGGCTGCCGAGTGTCCGTGCATGATGATGGAACGATTTTCTTCGTTCGTCACAGCGATTCATTGGGACAAAAGAAATAAGAAAAAAGTTTGTTGCCAATTGTTTCTTACGCTTTCACGATGACACCTTTTTTCATGAAGTTGATGGTGCAGTGCATTTTTATACCTTCGAACACGGGTGCCTTATTCTAGAGACATAGTCTGCGGCTACATGTGGCAAGCATGTGTAGTCTTCTGTGGTATTGATTTATCAACCTCAGAAGAAAGA